TTAAAAATGCTTTTTCTTTGTTTCCGTCAACTTTTTATTAATAGGGTACTCATCGTTATAGTTTTGTGGATTTGTAATCGTAAAAAATTGGATGCTGAAGAAGAAAACAGATCTCAAGTGGGGTCTTGGTCAGATTTTAAAAAATCTTTGGAGGAAACCTATAACCACTGAGCAGACAGACAGACAGACAGTCAGACACAGACAGAGAGAGAGAGAGAGAGCTGCTGGAGGTTGCGCCATCACGATCCGCAGATCACTACAGGGAAGGATTATATATATATATATATATATATATATATATATATATATATATATATATATATATATATATATATATATAGAGAGAGAGAGAGAGAGAGAGAGAGAGAGAGGGGGGAGATTTATTATTCTGCATCAAAGTGATTTTTAATTTTAATTTTTAATTTTCATTTGTGAAAAAAGAAGCAATCATTAAATACACACCCAACAAAATAATAAAGTCTTTCCTTCCCTTTGACCACGAAAACATGAGTTCTGTTGACTGACAGGTCACGAACAGCAAAATGACCCCATAAAAAGTTAAGTATAACGTCACATTGTCAAGAAAATCGACTCTTTTCTTACCCTAAATCATATCTAGAAAAAAAAATTGGTTACATAAAATTATACCCACCATGTCTGTACACCGTGCAGCTGCAACCAGTACCAAAGCTGTCAAAATAAAAGCCCCACCCGACTTACGTCGGGGGCCCTAATTTAACCTAAAGGTTAAACAGGGTTTCTGGGACTTGAAGACGGGTGATTCTCATCCGACTAGTGGCACTTTGTGTCATCGCGTAGTTATCGCTCGTTGTGCCGTCCTGGTGTTGTTAAAAATCACTCACGTACTAAGGCTGTTCGGACACCTGTCAACAGTACCACCAGGCAGTGCAGCATAGAGAGACAGAGAGCCCTGTCACTTAGACTTAATGGAAGCAGAACTAGAGGTAGACCACTCAAACGATGGATAGACGGAACATTCAAGGTCGTAAATACTATCATACACGTAACACATACCAAGACTTCCACTCCATGCAACTTTAAAACCTGACGCTGAAAGGCAATCCAGGACTAGAGAAGAAGATAAAAAAGATGGAGTTACCAGGGCGCATGAGAACGCAAAGAATAACCAGCCTAGAGATGTTGTAGAGGGAAAACAGGGGGCGGGGGATGTAAGGATAGTTTGTGCGCATTTTCTATTGCATAGTACAAGTTGGTGTTCATTTTTTTTTCTGTTAGGTTGCTCCTGATGATGTCGCTCCACATCTTGCGTGGTCTTTCCCCTGCTCTGTTCATTACAAAACACAGATTTATACGTTATGCTACCTGTGTCAAAACTAATTTAAAAGATCTGAATTTTGAAAATAATTTGGCTAGTAAAATACATCTTGTCTAGGAAGGTGAACTATTTTGACCATATCAAACGACACAGAATAGTAGAAGGTATGGTAGTAATAAAATGGACACCGGATTTAAGTGTCTCCCTGAGTAAGAAAGTACATGTGGTGGGGGGGGGGGGGGGGGGGGGGGGGGGGGGGTCTGGCGAAAACTTCGAATTTCTCTTGGGCAAAGGAAGGAATGTGAGTACTCGAGAACTTGGTTACAACTAACAAATTGCATAGGAAAAGAACAAGGGTCAGACAAAGAGTTAAATATCTGGGTGATTTAGCCATATGGATGGGGAGCTACAAGAACACTGACCTGATCTGTGAACATGCTGCTCATGTGGAATATCCACCCCCAATTCCCCCCCCCCCCCCAATTTTTAAGATGACCAAACACCCTAACCCAGCTATAAATAGTCATTTTCATGAGTTATTTTCATACGTGTCAGTTTATTTTAAAAAATGTTCTTGAATTTTTTCAGCAGTAATCGAATTATTATTATTAAACACATAAACACGTACTGTTGGGCATGGGTATTAGGCGAGGACAAGCAGAAACAGGTGGGGCAAAAAATGAAGACATCCCAAAAGAATATAGGTCAGTCATCTCCTGCAGTGACATAACAATAAAATTATTGAACCTGGAGACACTCAGATAGCTGCTGCTTTGGAGAGTGAGCCCGAATGGGTCGGACCGATGTTCCGGGATGTCAATACGGACAGCAAGTAACTTAAATATGGCTTAGGTCCATCCAACGGTCGGCGCTCCACTCCATTGAGAAAATTAACACAAAACGTTCTGCTATCAAATCGCTTACAGTTGATTCTTAAAGGGTATTAGGAACTACAAAGTATGTCCCCAACAGCTAAGCAACAACCCCAGAGACAGACAGACATTATTATTAAATATTAGGACACAGACAAGAGAAATAAGAACTTTAATCTTGTTGCTTGTTTGAATTTTTTTTTTTTTTTTAATTCGTTAATTTCACATGAGATATCCTTTCTGGCTGGTAATTCGCAGTTTGCACCAGTGTGTCTAATATCTGGGATACCTCAGAGTTAGAAGATCTGAAATTATAAATTCATATGAAAGTTTAGTGAACATATCATTATCACATAGTGATTATCATCATCATCATCGCCGTCGTCATTATTAACATTCATCAACATCCTCATTACCAACATTATCGTTGTGATCATAGTTCTTCTTTTTATCAGTGTCATCATATTCAACATCATCATTGCCACCATTGTCATTATCATCATTACCCCAAAAAACACCAACCTACCACAACGACCAACATTACTACCATCACTATCATCATCATCATTATCATAGTCGTGGTCCTCATCTTAATAATCAGCATCATCGTCATCTGTATCATCGTCGTAGTCATCATCATCATTATCGTCATCATTGTTTATGTCATCGTCCTCCTTGTTTTTTGTGTGTGTGTGTGTGTTTTTTTTTTTTGCCATTCACAAATCACATTGCATTGCCTTTATATCTCCATATCCATTACCTTGGTATATCTTATCAACGTTCGTGGTGAGATTTCCTGTTGCGTCCTTTCTGCCTGATCCTAAGTGTTTCCTATTTCAGTGTCTGTTTTGTGATTCTCTGTTACTCAGGCGAACAAGTAACACGTGTCTCCTGTGTTTGGACACGTAGTAACAAACTATGGCAGAAGTGAATGATACATCAACACGAAAACATGAATGGCTATATAGGCTCAACACAACATTCAAGACCAGAGTCTTTATACTGATGGTACACGTTGTCACCTCATTAACTACTCGTCTTGCTTTTTTCCTGAATCTCAAGTTACTTCCAGGGTGGGCAGACACTTTCCAGGCTTTACTCTCTCTCTTGGTACGGGTTTTCAATGACTTTCATTTGATTTGTTATCTCCACAGGTGAGAGATAACCTCCGCCGTGTACAGGTGCATAAACCCCCAAATGAGTGGCCAGTCTAGCCAACCTATCTACCTGCTCGTTCCCAAACCCGCCTACATTGTCCAGACAAAATATCTATGTGACTGTCACCAACTGCGACCTCTGGATTGCTGCCACCTATGACATATAACGAAACCATGACTCACAATTCTTGGGTGTTCATTGCGAATCTGAAGAATTCGCAACAGCTTCAACAGATTACACACATTATTGACAGCTTGAGAGATAAACACTATCTTCAACAGGATACAAACATTATTCACAGCTTGAGAGATAAACACTATCTTCAACAGGATACAAACCTTTATTGACAGCTTGAGAGATAAACACTATCTTCAACAGGATACAAACATTTATTGAGAGATAAACACTATCTTCAAAAGGATACAAACATTATTGACAACTAGAGAGATGAACACTATCTTCAACAGGATACAAACATTATTGACAAATAGAGAGATGAACACTATCTTCAACAGGATACAAACATTATTGAAAGCTTGTGAGATAAACGCTATCTTCAAGGGTAGTCAAACATGATTGACATCTTGAGAGATAAACACTATCTTCAACAGGATACAAACATGATTGACATCTTGAGAGATAAACACTATCTTCAACAGGATACAAACATTATTGACAGCTTGAAAGATAAACACTATCTTCAACATGATACAAACATTACTGACAGCTAGAGAGATAAACACTATCTTCAACAGGATACAAACATTATTGACAGCTTGAGAGATAAACACTATCTTCAACAGGATACAAACCTTAATAACAGCCAGAGAGATAAACACTATCTTCAACAGGATACAAATATTATTGACAGCTTGAGAGATAAACACTATCTTGAAAAGGATACAAACATTACTGACAGCTAGAGAGATAAACACTATCTTCAACATGATACAAACATTATTGACAGCTTGAGAGATAAATACTATCTTCAACTTGATACAAGCATTGTTGACAGCTTGAGAGATAAATACTATCTTCAACATGATACAAACATTATTGACAGCTTGAGAGATAAACACTATCTTTAACTTGATACAAGCATTATTGACAGCTTGAGAGATAAACACTATCTTCAACATGATACAAACATATTTGACAGCTTGAGGGATAAACACTATCTTCAACATGATACAAACATTATTGACAGCTTGAAAGATAAACACTATCTTCAACTTGATACAAGCATTGTTGACAGCTTGAGCGATAAACACTATCTTCAACATGGTACAAACATTATTGACAGCTTCAGAGATAAACACTATCTTCAACTTGATACAAGCATTATTGACAGCTTCAGAGATAAACACTATCTTCAACTTGATACAATCATTATTGACAGCTTGAGAGATAAACACTATCTTCAACATGATACAAACATTTTTGACAGCTTGAGAGATAAACACTATCTTCAACATGATACAAACATTTTTGACAGCTTGAGAGATAAACACTATCTTCAAAAGGATACAACATTACTGACAGCTAGAGAGGTAAACACTATCTTCAGCTTGATACAACATTGTTGACAGCTTGAGAGATACAATTCAGATTTTTGTATTTTGTTCAAGTGTTTTTTAAGCTAAAACTGAACGTACATACATACTTGGCTGAAATCATTGGGATGTCTTTGGAGGGAGCTTTGAGGCGGCACTAAGCAAAGGCGCCACATGACTCAACACCATAGCAAATACTGAATTGAGACTTTCACACACGGTCTCTAATGGCTTGCTGGCGCTAATCGAGGCCAAGTCCACTACATTCACAACCCTTCCCAGGATCTTCTTGACGATGTTCAGAGTTCCCTTTGCGACTCTTGTGAGCGCGTCCAATAAGGCTTTTGATAAGTTATGCACGATGGCGCAGAAGACATGGGTCACAGTTGGCATACTCTCCATTACTGGTTTTATAACAGACATAAAAGTTTTGAGGCCGAGCGGGTCACCTACAGTTCGCTTTCGGATGTCAAGTGTCTGGCAAGACACGGAATTTGCCACCACAAGGAGCAACGGAAAACTGAAGAACATCATCTGCCGAAAAGATATTCATAAGAACGTTCATTACCAAGAAACTCAGAATACGTGTATTGGTGATTCTCCTTCACCCCCTCCTCCTCCTCAACTTAATCGTCGTTATCATCATCATCATCATCATCATCATCTCCTTCTTCTTCTTTCTTCTTCTTTTTCCTTTCTATCTTTATTTTCTTCTTCCTCTTGTTAGTTCTCCTTCTTTACTTACAAATAAATTAACATAATCATCATATTCTTTGAAAAAGCCGTGGAAATTATTACATATTTTTTTATAAAACTTGGGATTCGATAGTCAGAATATGAGAATTTTTAGCAACCTCTAATGGAAACAAAAAGCAACTGTCAGAAACAGCAACACTGTCTCCCCACAAATAGAAATAGAAAATAGGAGCACGTCGGATATGTGTATATACCCCATTCTCTTCGACTTATAAATAGAAAACAATTTTAAGCTAGCTGAAGAATTGGCTGGACTGAACATTATTGGAAGAACAGAAAACAATCTGAGATTTGCTGATGACACAGTCCTACTAGCAGAAAGCCAACAGCAGTTACAGGACCTAATGGATCAAGTCAATAGGTGGAGTCCAGAGTATGGTTTGGACAATAACTTTGGAAAAGAACCAAAAACTATGGTAATTAACGATGGAAAAGAGCGACCAATAGTGAACAAAACAGTAAAAGGAGAGCTGTTAGAAGAAGTAATGAGTTTCTCATATTTTGGAGAAGTAGTAACAGACGATGGTCGAAGTGAAATAGAAATCAAAAAGAAGATCAGGAGAAGCTAAAATTATCTTTAGCAAGATCAAAATGAGAATCGTCAAATCTGGTAATCTGGTAATCTTAGTTTCAGTTTCATATCAAATGGGTCGCCCATAGTCAACGAAAAAAACATAAAATGTTTATCACAGTTCAAATGAAATCCTTGAACAATACAGACCAAGTCACAGTTTTTCGCTTACGCACTGGACACTGCAGACTCAATAAACACTCACATAAATTAGGTATGAGCCAAACAGCTCTCTGCCAGTGCCTTCGTGCTGAACAGACTCCAGAACATGTCCTGCAAGACTGTCCTCTCCTGGCGGAGCTGCGGAGCGACATATGGCAACACCCGGTAGAACTGACAACTAAGCTTTGGGGAAACCTAAGAGACCTTGAAAAGACATCCCAGTTTATGACCCACAGTGGATTATGCGCATGACCAGAGATCGCTGAAGAAGAAGAAGAAATGAAATCCGCAGCTCACAGTGTTGCGCCATGCACTCAACTTAGAAGCTGGGCAACGAAACTATATATGTTATGTATTTTCAACGCTGCTGTATGATGCAGTATTGTGGACAATGAACAAACAACTAGAAAACAGAATTGGGTGTCTGGAAACGTGGATATTCAGAAGAATAGGTCGCATTTCATGGAAATGAAACAATTCAATACAGAGGTTCTGAAAGACTGCGGAAAAATGAGAATTACTGAAATAAATATAAAAGAAATCACTGAAATGCTTGGGTCACATTTAAAGACATAACAGACTTTTTTACTGGAGGAAAACGTCGAGGGCAAGAGAGCAAGCGGTAAACAACGTTACAGTTGGGAGGAGATCTTCAAGAGAAGAATGAACAGCAGTCTGAGAGAATGTGCAGCCAAGACAAGAGACAGAACATATTGGAGATCCATTGCAGCCAACCTTTATTGTGGAGACGGCACCTGGTTGATGATTGACTTATTAACAAAGACAGTCTACAACTGGACGACAAGGCAAGGACAGCCAGAGGAGCACCAACCGGAACATTACATCTTCATCGACATCGTGTCCGGTACGATAGGAAGGGAACACGAAGAGTAAGAAAAACTTTGCCACTGTAATGGAGGGAAAAGCTGCATTTAATTTTATATCAAACGTAAATCAAGAAGAAAAGACATAAGAGAATAATAGTATGATGAGTACATATCCATCGTGTTACTAGGCCAGTCAGCCTTTACACTTGAGAACCTTTGCTGCGGGAGACAGAGAATCTATGGGTGTCTGGTGTGCTATGATATCGATTCTGAAATCAGCAAATAGGCGAAGAAGGATACAAGGCCTAGACAAAGAAACGGTTGGCACGGGATATTAACGATACCCTGGGCAGAAAGGAACACAGAATCACCAAACACGAGCTCAAATGCAAAACAAATGAATTCAGGAAACAGTAAAGTACCCCTATCCAATTACTCTAGGCGTGTGGGCATAGAAGTAAAAGTAAAGTAAAGGACCCTTTCCACGCCTTTAGGCATAAAGGGCATATAGGGCTAGACCTATATTTTTATAGACCAATCGGCACAAGATGGGTGATTTGCCGGTCGCCTCTACTTCCCGGGACTGCACCCGGTACCCACTCAAGGCTGGGTCGACCTGGGAGCCAAGGTCATTTTTTAAAGAAAAGTCCGGCTCCGCCAGGGAGCGAACCCGCGACCTTCCGATCCGCGGCGCGCGTCAAGCTGCTCTGCCACGGCGACTCCCGCATATAAGGCTAGTCCTATATTTTATAGACCAATCAGCACTCGGTCGGTAATGGGATAAACACTACGCCGACCACCTTTACTTTCCAGGACTCTATCTGATACCCAGTCAAAGCTAGGTGGAGCCAAGGCTACACTAGGGCAACATCCCATATTGACCAAATCTTACTACGCACTATCACGGGAAGTAAAGGCGACCGGTGTGTTGCTGATCACATTACCGACCGAGTTTCCAGTTGTGTAAAAAACATCATGATTCCAGTATCATACTCTGGGTGCTTCATTGGTGGGGAAAGGCATCTTTTTTTTCTCTCGCATATTCTATGAAAGTGATCATCTAGTAGCAGGTCCTTTGCGGAAAGTCGCTCTCATCACGGTCTGCATAAAAAGAAACGTGGTCTTTCGCCAGCCCCCCCCCCCCCCCCCCCCCCCCCCCCCCCCCCCCCCACCCCCCCCCCCCCCCCCCCCCCCCCCCCCCCCACTTTGTGCACTTTCATATTCAAGGAGACCTATATCCTGTGCCCATCTTCGTGCTGTTAGGTCTCTGACCCTTCTTCCTGGTACTATGCCTTCTACAATTATATTTTTTTGTCCTGTCCTGTATGTTGGTTGATATGACCAAAATATTTTAGCTTCCGAGACAAGATGCTTTTTATTAGCCAAACGTTCTTGATGTTTAGGTCTTTTAAAATGTAAGTATGTCTTTTTTTTTTTTTTGTCCATGGCATTTTGAGAATCTTTCTAAAGCATTTCAGATTAGAAACCCCTATTTTCTTTCTTAAGGACTGAGAGACAGTGGACGATTCACATCCGTATTTTGCTATGGGGAAGATGCATGACCTCAGAAAAGTTAAGTGATACTTCACAAATATGTAAATACTGTAACAATTATGTTAATACACACAAGATGTCGACATCTGCTGCTTAGGCGTTGCCAGCGCGCTTCGTAATTGCAAAGTGAGAGTTATGTCAACAACGAAGTACAGACAAGGTTAGTGAGTGGATAATGGCTAATCTCTGACACTAATACGACTGCGTGACATGGGGGTAAAGCATGGTGAAAAGTACCGATGCCGCCTTAGAGGCCCAGATAGGATACACTGTAATCAGATTCTCATGGAAACAATCAGAAAGGGTACCTTAGAGTGGCTGCTATTTTGGAGTACTGAGCTCACATGAGGATGCTCAAAATGCAGTGACGTCGATTGCGATAAAATAAAGTGTGGTATTCGATCGTAGCTGCAGGCGATTTGACAGCAGACCACCTTGGGTTCATTTCGACAGGAGTATAGAGAGCCCGGCGGCCGCGTTAGCGCAGTCGATAGGAGGTTCGCTTTCAAATCCAGCTGCGACTCGCTGCAGCCAACGGCCGATGTTCGAAACCGGGCGGTTTCCCGGGGCTTAACCAGCCTCTAGGTAATGGCCACCATAGCTAACACTCTAGGATAAATGAAGGAACGTCGCTGTAGCTACGGAGTTGTGTGCGGACGACGACACAGACGGACAGTTTCTTATCAGCTGTCTGTACTGGTGGCAGAGAACTTATCGTTTAAAACCGTGTGCAATGACGCTGGTTCACATCTCCTGACGTAACCTTTTCCTTTTTATAGAGAGCCCATCCTCTAAATTACTGGGGAGTTTTGGGAAATGCCGTTCTGGTCTCAAGACTTAGATGAGGAAAACTCCAACCTAACCTCAACGCGGTAGAGGATGGTAAAGACACTGCAGTGTGGCCAACGCAGCTATGGGGACCAAGTATCCACCAGATTAAGTGGACACCTCTGTGGTGCCCTCTGCTGTTAGCAGGAGCATCACAGAGCAGGACACTCACTCGCTCCGGCAATCTAAAAGGTTGCCTAAGGCTGAGGAAATACAAGTGGAAATCCAGGAAAAGCTACCACATTATTACGTCAAGAAACGTATCATTGAAGCCAATAGGAATAAACTCACAGGGAGCAAGTACAGCGGGGATCTACCAGTCGTCAGTAGAAATTATACTCGTCGACACACGTTTCGGCCCACGATTCCTAGACGTATTCGGAGGTGGGCCCTCCTGAGTTCATGAAGCTCAGGGCTGGTTCCCCGCTGCATGGAATTACCGGATGGTGTTTTACTTTCGGCCAGAGACAAGACGACTTGGTGGTTTCGCAGGAGGTACTGTGAGATAAGAAGCCGCCGCGGCAGCTTAATTAGAGCAGTGAGCATGCCTGGACGACCGAGCGACAAGCTTACTTTGGTTTACCGGACACATGTTGGACTTTTATTAGCAGTTGGCAGAGGAACACTGGCAGACAATTCGGACACGATGGACTTTCAAAGGGATGAGAAACTCTTTTCCGCTAGACACCCGGACCAGCTCACCGAGGCCCGTCCCCTACGTCGCGCTGCCAAGAATAAAAAAAAAAAAGTAAAGATCCCTTTTCACGCCTTTCGGCGCATCGGGCATATGGGCAGAGCGTCCCATATTTTTACAGACCATCAGCACTCTGTGGGTA